ACAGTTTCTTAATGACAATTCCAACTTTACTTTATGTAGATCTGAGGGCCATGCCAAACGGTATCCTTAAATTTTCCTAATTTTTGCTCAATTTATGTATTTGTGGCATAAATTTAAAATTCAATATCATTTTATTTGGCCCTAAAAGTTTCTAAAGAAAAATTAAATCAAGTAGAACCAGATTTGAAGCAAAAAATACTTATAAAACCCTTTGATTAAAACATATAGAATATATTATTTTTTTAGTTTATATTGATGGGTGATATTATCAAAAACAGGCAAGGCTTTGCGATATGTCTATTGGTTTCCCAGATATCACTCCTTCAAACTCTCCAGGTTAAAAAAATATATATGACTCTTAAAATGACCATGAATGAATAACCGGAAACAAGAATAAGTCACTGGCATTCACAGGTAGCATGGCTAAATGCATTCTTTTCCAGTAGTAGCATACAAACTCTGGTTCCATTTATCAAAGTTGGATGGACTAGAAAGAGAATTATTATACTTTAGATGAGTAAACTTTGCATCAAAATTGAAAATTAATGCAAACTTTCTTCTTAGTAAACCTCCAAGTACTCTTTGGGAGAAATCGAAGTAAGGAAGTGTCCTTTCTCTAGTGTGGTTATTAAACAAACTTCCTTTTCAGGCTATACACAGACCTCAAAACCAAGTGAGTGAGCACTGAATTAAATCTTCACTAATATTCAATGTAAAAACAATACTGAATTGGTCTGGCTGTGGTATAGCTACTTTTGTAAAAAGGATAAAATTTCAAACACTTGAGGTAACCTAGAAAGCACAGAGTATATCACAGACATCTTAAAGATAAGCATTTTAAACATTTTTTTTTTGCCAGTGCTTGTTCTGAGAGCAAGTTCTTTAAACAGAACTCAACAATTTTACAATATTAAAAAAAATACAACTCTCAAAAATAGCCCATCAATGCTAAACCAAACTTTCTGTATTTCTACAAAAATAGATGCACACAGAGCTACAAAATTTTATTCCTGAAAGAATCGGCATTTTCATTTGTGGTTCATCTTTTTCCGACAAGGTGGTTGGTTCAAAAAGAAAATAAAATCGAAGTAAAACAAAAACTAACCTATGAATTGATAAAAGCAAGATAATTTTTAAAAAGAAAGAATTTGCACAGTTGACAAAGGCTCAGATGAAAGAAAAAAAATTGCTTTTCTTCAAAATCTAGGACCCACTCTGCTTTTCAAGAAAAGGCTCAAAACCAGTCAATTACTGTCACTTCCTCTTCCTTCTTCCATGTCTCTTGTGTCCCCTTGCAGAATGAAAAATCCTGCCAGCATCTGTCTCCCGTGAACCTTTGGATTCATACGGCAACCTGACTAGGCCAACATTGATTCTCAATACCATGGTGATTCCTTGCTCTTGTCTTGATTCTGTAGACCTAGAAAAGATAACAATGGGAAATATAAAACAAAATAAATATGTATAATACTAATAAATGTGCATAGCCTTCAATGCATTGGATATGGAAGCCAAAAGGCAATACAGGCACTTGTGAAGTATGACCTAAGGGCAACTTGGTCTCTGAAATAATTCCATTTTAAGCTTGAAATTTTCAAAAAGCCAATGAACATAGTATATAACAACAACAACAACAAAAGACTAGAAAAGGGGTAATGATATAAAGGGTCTTCAAAAAGATCGTAGAAAATGCATACATGAAAGACAGTATAGGCCAGTCAGTGCCAATAATCTCGGTATAATACAGTCAATTGACTGATTTCTGATATGGGCAATTAGCATAGCACTGTTAGTTTACTCCCCTTTGAAGTCACTTTTTTTTCCTTGTTGTTGTTTTGTTTTGTCTTTTCTTTTGTTGCTTTCTTTGTTTTTAGTTTGCTATAGGGAATATGTACTTGCCAGAGAGAGACAGAGAGAAAGTGAAAAAGTACTACCCCCTGGGGAAGATGACCATGCTGCAACCCCTTCTCTAGTTTCCTCTTGGGATTCTGAGCATACAAGCACATGCATCCAGCATGTGTTCTGAGTGTCTTGACCTGCTGGGTGTGGGACTCAAATGTGCAGGCAGCCATGTGGGATCCAGCTGCCTTAACTACCATACCACTTGGCCAGCCCATTGTTTTGATTTTTTTTGTTGTTTTTTTCTTTCTAGTTTTATTGAGTAAATAACAAAGCGTATATTTTTAAATTGTATATATTTGAAATGTTTAACAAGATGCTTTGATGTGTTTGTATATTGTGAAACAATTACCAAAATTGAGTTAATTAACACACCATTTCCTCTTTCAGTTTTATTTTTGCAGCTGAGTCAAATCGTTTGGAAGAGTGAAGACTTCTAATTACAGTAGCTCTTAAATTGTCTAGAACCAAAGGACAGAAGATAAAGTGAAGGTGACACGTTGGTAGAAATACTGTAAGCTTGCTGTTGTAAGGAGCTAAGAGCTCAGATTGTCCTTTTGACCCTTAGTCTATAACACCATAAGTTCGGTCAGGGTGTCAGGAGTTCAATAGTTAAATAAGTCAGTACAGTTCAAAATTTTTATTATTACTGAAACAGTAACTTGTCCTTCAACCTGTCATAAAATTTTATAAAATAATGGGTGTTAATCGGGCTAGCAGGTGGTGTAGTGTTTAAGGCACTGGACTCCCACATGGCTGACCACCATTTGAATCGCAGACCTGGTGGCTTGAAAAATCATGCTGGGCACATGTGCATACATGCCTAAAATCCCAGGAGGAGAATGGAGTAGAAGAGATACTGGCATGGCCATTCATCTCCCTGTTGGGTGATTTCTCACTTTTCTTCTTTTGCTTTCCGACTGTCTCTAGCAAGTGTACGTGCCCTATGGCAAAACAAACAAACAACAAGAACAAAAACAAACCTAGACACAATTAGTTGTTGAATAGAGGCATGAAGATCACCTACAGGGCATAGACTCTGTAAAGGGCTAGAGAACAAAGAGATAAAGAAGCACCTCGTAGAACTTAAGTTACAATCTATGTACTATATAGCATTTGTGTACTACAAAAAGATGACATAATGCCAAATGATTGCTTTCATCTTGATTTTTTTTTCTCAAGTGTACTAGAATTATGTTTAGACATAAAATCAAGAGTTTTTCTTCCTTTCCCATTTCAAAAGAAGTGGAGAACAAGGATAAAAAGAGGAAAAAAGACCAAAGATGAAGAAATAAAAAAGTACTGGGACATATCAATTCACTCTAAGCTTGCTTTACTCAATTTCAAATGATTTTGTGGTTAGAATAATTTGCAACCTGACAGCCTCTATTGGGTGACACTTATAATCTAAACCACCTTTCCTGACTATCTGTGGACTACATGAATATTTTTTTCATTATTAAAACGTCTCATCTTTTGTATGACTCATTATTTCCACACTTGAAGACGGCATCAATCTATAGAATGTCAGCACTGCAAGTCATGAATACTGCTGCAATCATCGAGTGGTCTCAGAGCCCTTCTTTTCTCTTTAAAAAGGCCAACCTTAGTTTGCTTCGCAAAGACATGTGGCTGCTTCAAAATCACATTAACTTTTTTAAGTGGTCAAGTATTGCATTACTGGAGATAACACAAATTTTCCAACCAGAATAACAGAAGTCATTCTCTCATAAATTAATCTCTTCAATTTTTTGTTTCTATGTCTCTGCATTAGTACAATGCAAACCTAAAAATGTCAATTCATTTATGACCCAAAATGTATTAAATATCTCATGGATCCTTGTAGTTTAGCTTCTACATGGTGGTGGGACATAAATAAAGCCTTTCCTTTGGTTACCATGAATTAGTATCTGCACATTTCAAAGTAAGTGTAACTATAGCACAAGCACATGAGCAACCCAAACCGAAAGCCCCATTGATAAACTCCAGAAGAGAAGGGGAGTTTGCTATACTTCTTACAGCAAACAGAATTGTGAAGGGCACATGACGACATGTAAGTCTACCGCTAACTTTAGTTGTCCCTGGCAAGCTTGAAGGAGGGAAAAATGACTAACCTATAATCTTTATGTAGTCTACATACATTTGTGACTACCCAAAATTTTCTTGCCAGAACAGAATTCATTCTAGTACAAGTTTTCCTTCTATTTAAACTTTGTTGCTTTTTCATTTGGTTAACTCAAACCAATGCAACATTTGTTCATACATATGCTGAATTTCTCCACTGCTCTCTAAAATCACCCATATTTACCTTTTCTATATTAATAATTAAGTTTTAGTTTTACTGTATAGTCTGTGAGATTTTTGTTATAAAAAAAATAGCATCCTGAAAATTACATTAGCTAACACTTTCTTTGGGCTTCAGTAGGCACTGTACTAAGGGTTTTACATGAAACATTTGATTTAATGCTCCCAATCACACTATAGTATTAAAGTGTAATATACAACTTTGAACGTTGAAAGTACAAGAAGTTATACAACTGTCAATGGGAGAGCTAAGACTTTAAAAGATGTGGTCTGATGTCAGGATAAATGGTCTTAACTAGAGCACACAAGGGATCTTCAAAAAGTGTATGAAAATGTAAACTATGATAAAATTATATATGGATTTCAAAAATGTTCTGCACTAAAAATAAATATGTACCTCAATTATATTTTTCCATGAATTTTCTGAACATTCCCCCCCCCCCCTATTTTCGAACCCTCCCCCCCCCCCCCATATTAGTTTCCTTTACGTAGGCTATTCTGGCAATAAACTGGGATCTGGTCTATACTTCCCAACTCTACAACTCAAAATACTCTCACAAAGTCAACTCAAAGGAAATCATTAGATTTTTAAATATTCTTTCCCCCCCACTGCTTAGAAACATTTTTATTTAACAGAACTGACATTAAGATAAACATAATAGCATTTAGTGATTTTTTTTTTTAAGATTATTGGGTCATTGGAAAAGTCATGACATATTTTTGCATAGAAAAATACATCATGGCTTTTCCTATGTCCCACTATATATCCACAATATTTTTATGAAATAAGTACACCATAGTTTGTTATACTTTAGATAAAGACCACATCAATAGTATACAAGGATATATCACATTAACTGATGTGTGCTTTTTACATGTATCTTAATATAACCACTCTACGTCCTGCCAGACTTCTGCAGTGTGAACTTTTAGACATAGAGTGGGCATTTGGTTCATGAGGTGGTTGCCAGAGATGCACCAAGGGGTAAAGACATCAAATTGTTGAAGAGTATAAGATTCAGTCAGGAGAAAAGCTGAAAGAAAATGAGAGTCTAGTAGACTCACTTTTCACTTCAATTCCAATACCATGGCCACCTGACCACCAAGAAAAAGAGAAAACAAAATTCAGACCCTGGAGGAGAGTGAAGGAAGGATGAACACAAGAAAGAAATCTGAGATAATTAGGGGCAAGATGGAAGTCTTAGCTAAGGAAGAGAATCACAGCATTATTTCCCGTTAAAATCTGAATAATGTGACAGTCTTAGTTCATTTGGGCTGCTAGAATAAAATACAAAATGAGTAGCTATAAACAGTAGAAATTCATTTACCATAGTTCTGGATGCTGAGAAATCTAAGATCACGGTACTGGGAGATTTGGTGTCTGCTGAGGGCTCACTTTCTGATTCATAAAAGTGCTATTTCTCTGTGTTTTCATTTGGTGGAAAGGGATGGGATTTCTTTCAGGCTTCACTTGTAAGGGTACTAATCCCATTCACAAGGACTCTGCTCTCATGGCCTTATAACTTCCCGAAGGCCCTACTTCCTAATATTAGCACCTTGGCAGGGAGGATTTCAATAGTTTTCAATTTTTCAGCTGAGATTTTGGGAATTTGCAACATTTGTTGAAGACTATGGGAATAAAGAAATAGAGAAGACAAATGAATATGTCTAAACATGAAAGGCCTGAAGACTTCCTCTCCCTACATCCCCTGAACTCCTGGGAGAGCTCTGAAGGGGTCCCATCAGTTAGTGCAGAGAGAATTCTGGTGGACCTGCCTGTATTTCCCATAGCCATCATGTAGGTACTCCCTCAGTGGCACAGAGGGCATGGGTCACCCTAGATGAGCATCTTGGAGGGATCACGAACATTAGGATTCTGAACTCGATTGGCCAAGTTTAACATGGCATTCAATATTGGGGAAAGCATATGAAGAGAATGAACAGACACACAGACTGGGGGAGAGCAGTGCATTTGAAAACAAGAGCCAGAATAGCATGAAATGCCAAGGCCAAGAGGTACACAATAACTTATTAATTGATGATTGATGGATAAATTTTGTGATGTGAATAACTCCTCGAGATACACAGGCAACCCTGGGGAGAGAGTGAGAGAAGAATCTGCAAAGAGGTTTCAATTCTAAATCAGGTTTTGTTTTAAACTGAGAGCAATGAAGGCATCATTAGATTGGACTAAGAACAGTAGAATTAATGAGGTTA